AGAGAGTGTAAGAGGGAATTTTGTATTTTTCTTTTTTAACTAATCTAAGTCACATATTTTTAGTGTAGTGACGTGACCCAATTTAGGCCGTGCCCCTGGAGGAAAAATGTTGGAGAGGATCTGAACTCATTTAGCCAAGCCATGAAGAAAGAGAAGGGGGGAAACCACATTGTCCCATGGCAGAGTAGTTAGAAAAAGATGTGAAAATCACATGTATTTTTATTTTTATTTTTTTTATTAGTTTTATATATATCACTAAACATACATTTTAATTTTTAACACATCATTGTACACTCTAAAATAATAAATTTTTAACACATAAATTAGGCCCTATTTGGAAAGTTGGCTATTTCAGTAGGCTATTTTAGTTTTTAGCTATTTCAGTAGGTTAAAATTTTTGTGTTTGGGAAGATGGTTAGAATTTTTTGTAGTTGGATGTATTGTTTGTGACAGAAAAAGTAAAATGATTATGGATTTGATGTGACATTTTGTCTTATTAATTATTTTAGTCTATTTTATCTTTTTGTGAATTTTAAACTAAAAAATCAAGTTTTAACCTTTGTCAAACAAGCCCTCATATTTATGTTATATGACACATTAACACCCAAATTTAGTCACTTCATTATGGTGCTCTAAGAGTTCTATTTTGCTTTTTTATCTATTCATATTAGCATCTAAGTGTTTATACATCATTTTTTTTTTAATTTTATTTTGGTTATGTATGTATTTATTTCATAGATTTTTCATGAACACCTGCAATAAAATGCCAAATAAAGGAATTACAAATAATTTGTCTTGCATCTAATCAGAGTGGCGCAGCGGAATCGTGGTGGGCCCATAACCCAGGCTCTGATAATTTATTTGTTTTGTTGTTGGTTTTTTTTTTTTTTTTGACAAACATACAAAATCAACTCTGGCTTTTACTTTCTGATAAAATAATAGAAAATCACTCTCTCACATATAAACGTATAAAATATTATTTTGTTGTTAGTTTTTATTCTTTTGACAAACATACAAAATCAACTTTGGGTTTTATTTTTTGATAAATAGGAAATCACTATCTCTCACACAAACAACGTGTAATATTGTGATTCGGGGAGTCAGTAGATACTTTTGTGTAGCTTAAACATTTTCATTATTTTTTTGACAAACATACAAAATCAACTCTAATTTAGTTCGCATGTTCGAGTTTAGTTCGCATGTTCTCATTTTCATTTTCATTATTCATTAAACATGCAATTTCACAATTTCTTTGCAATTTCAATATTAATTTCTTTATTATTTGTTTTTAAACTTACTTATCTTAATGTAAGGTAATGCATTTTCTTTCGGTTTTCGTTTTCTCCATCAAATGCGTCCATTCTGAGTACCCATTTTATATCTGTCTTCTAAACCACAATTTCATATGACTTCTTTTCAACATGGGTCATGTATTGCTTAATAAGTATTCAAAATGCATTTAAGGTTGGAAACAAAATGAATCTGAATGGGTGTAGGTGAAGATTGAAGAAGGTGATGGAGGGTGGTTACATACACAAAACTGATGGGACTAAACTGGACAAAATAAATGGGGTTTTTTAGGCTGTATTGATTTGTAAATTATGGAGGAATTAAGTTAGTTAGAGTTTGTTGTTGAATTACCAAGCGAAGAGTTTGCTTTCTGAATTTTATTTTATTAAATTCTTTCTTAAGAACACTTCCTTCTTAAATTTTTCCTCTAACCTTATGTGATCAATTAAAGAAAGTTCCAAAAAGAAAGAATTGAAAAAAAATAAAACCCAAAGAAAATATTGATTAATTTGTGTAAATTAATGTTTTTATCAGTCATTAATTTGTATCTATGTTGACAAAATGTTGTGTTTGTTCGTAGTGTTTGTATTGGGTAACCAATTATTATTTTGCAACAATGTTTGTGTTTAGTTTGAATTGGGTGGTCTATAAAAAAACCTTTCATTAGTGTGACAATGCATGTGTTTGTTTTGAATTGGGTAGTCTCTTTTAATTATCATATTGTTTTTTTTTTGTATTTTACAGGTGGATGAAGACTAGAAGCGAATAGTAATATTGACTCCTTTTTTATAGGTCTACATGTTTTAAAGCTTAAGTTTTTCTTATCTCTCTAATGATTTTGTATTTATTGTTGTGTAAACTAAACGTGCACTTCTTTGATTGATGAGTGTTAAAAGAGTGGCAATCTCAAGGGCAAAATTTACATTATTTTTGGTTTCATTGTTGACAAACTTTGAAAATGATTGACATTGTATAAAGTTAAAGATTATTTAGAGGCAGATTGATGTTGTGTAAATTATTGTTGTATTTTTCTTATCAAAATCAGACCAAACTGAAACTGTATTTGTGTTTGTGTTGGAAAAATTAAACATATTTGTATTTGTGGGTTTTAAAATCTGTTGCAGATGCAGTTGAGTGTCTCTCTCTTATTTTGGTTTCTATGGGTATCTATGAAATGCCATGAAATTATTGTTGTATTTTTCTTATCAAAATCAGACCAAATTGAAATTGTATTTGTATTTGTGGGTTATAAAATCTGTTGCAAATGCAGTTGAGTATCTCCATTCTGGTAGAAGTGTTGGCAAGGTATGGATTTTTTTTTTAAGGTCTTAACATGCTTATTTCTTTACATATTTTCTGTTATGCATTGTTGAAAATTTCCTGACCCAAAAAAATCTTACAGGTGGTTATTTGCATTGACTCGACTTTCAGTCAGCAAGTAGCAAAGTATAGAGTATGTGCGTGTTCAAATTGTGAGATGGGTTTTTATATTTGGTTAAACATCACTGGTTAGAGTTGATCTCAAGCATTGCCCATTTGCAGAGGTAATTTATCTTTATTGATTGTAATTTATCTATATAGATTTGGTTAAACATCAAACACATTCCCTTACAGTAGGTATGGTTAATGATAAGAAAACTGGTAGTGTAGTATGCTTAATACATATATGGTTGAAGATCATCCAGCATGCTTAATACACCATTGAGTGTTATTCTTTGTTACTTTTTAATCTGAATGTTATTCTCTGTTTCTTTTCTTTTTTTCATTACCAAGATGAGTTCAATTTGGTTGTTGATTTAGATTTTGTTATTTCTTTTTTTTTCCTATTAGTTGGTGCGCTTTTTTATTTTTATTTTTTTGAAGTACATTAGTTAATGACAGGGCCTTTTTTTCCCTTTGATTTGATGCCCAAATCTGAATTTAGGACTTATTTGTTCTATTTTTTTTTTTTTAATACTAATACAATTTGTTATTGAAGTGATTAATTATTGAAGTGATGAACATGAGCATGGAGAGAAGCCTACAGATCACCACCACAGGTGGTGATGGTGTAGTTGGTGGTGGTGGTGGTTTGTTGGTGAAGAAGAGAGGGAGGCCAATAAAGTATGACTCAGATGGTAACTTGAGACTACCATCTATATCACCACCACCACCAGATTTTTCTTTCTCACCTCCTTTTCCATCATTATTTACACTGTGCCTTTAGGCACGGGCAGACCACTTGGTTCTGGTAGCTGCCAGCTACTTGAGATAAATAGGTGAGTTCATCGAATCAATCCTTTAAATTAACCTTTTCCGTTGCTGCAATTCAAGACTTCTTTCATCAAACACATTGAAAACAATAGGTATGGTTTAACTTGATTTTTATTTTTTTGAAGTACATTAGTTAGTGTTATTGCACATGGTTAAATCGGAATGGAAGTGTTTATTCATTCTCTTCATGGGTTTTAGGTTCATTGAAGCGTATGTGGAAATAATTCGACAACCTTATGTATGGGGTGGAGAGCCTGAGTTGCTGATGGCATCCCATGTTCTCAAGTGAGTTCTATTCACTGTTTCAGTGAAGCATTTATGTTGTCAGTATGAAGCAATTTATGTGCAAAAGACAATATCATAGTGTTCATCAAGGTGTTTTTGCATATTGCCTCATATACAATGGTATTTGTCTATTTATTAGTTTGACAGAAGGGTTTGTTTCTGGAAAGTTATATTTGACACTGTTAGTTGAATTGGATGGGCATACATAGGGACATGTGAAGTGGGATTTCTGGGTTTTTGACCGTTCGTTTATCTAAATACAAATTTACCTCTTATGTTTTGTGAGATTTTGTTCGTTCTTGGGTTTGAATCACACTTCAAATTTTTAAGTGGTTTTGTTTTAACTGTTATGATGCTGAAAATTATGGTTCTGTCTTAACTGTTATGATGCTGAAAATTATCTCCGATGGTAGTGTCGTTTTCTTTAATCTCAATATTTTATGATGCTGAAAATGCTATTTGGTGCAAGTATGTCATATTCTACCATTGATTAAACTCTGAGCTATTAGTTCACAATTGGTGGCTTGCTGCAACTGAAAATGCTATTTAGTGCAAGTATGTCATATTCTGCCATTGATTAAACTCAATTGATTAAATTCTGGGAACTCTTTGAGCTACATTATTATTAAAGTATTAGGAAATGGATGAGTATCTATATAATAAAGCATGATAGTTTTTGAAAATATTTGGCATGCTTTTATTATTTATGTTAAAACCCAAACTTCAATTGTTCTTTCAAGTTTAATGCCCTACAACTCAGCAGGATTATATTACCCGTCTATTGTTATTTCAAGTTTAATGCCCTTTTTCCATTGTTGATTATGAAAACTTACAGGGCACTTAATTGCACTTAATTCATTTGTTGATTATGCCCTTTTTCCACATGTACTGAATCAAGTTTTTACTTCTCCTGATGGCACACTTGGGCTCCAACCAATTGAAGTTTCTTCCTAATTTTTAAGAAAGGAAAGGTGAACAAGGGTTGTTTTGTCTGACCTCCCATTTGATTTTTTAAGCTTTATATATATAATCTAACCCCCAGTTGATAGACTGGAAGAAATAGTATGAATTAGGCTTGATGATTATATTTTATGCTATTTGATTATTGCATTGAAGTGCATGACTGGTTTGACTTTTATCTTGCAGTATTTACCATTATATAATTTTGAAACTTAAAAAACATTTTTTGCTTCTTTTGCTAAGTCCTCAAACCTAACATTTTTGGCTTCTTTGGCTTCTTTTGCTAAGTCCTCAAACCTAACATTTTTGGCTTCTTTGGCTTCTTTTGCTAAGTCCTCAAACCTAACATTTTTGGCTTCTTTGGCTTCTTTTGCTAAGTCCTCAAACCTAACATTTTTGGCTTCTTTGGCTTCTTTTGCTAAGTCCTCAAACCTAACATTTTTGGCTTCTTTGGCTTCTTTTGCTAAGTCCTCAAACCTAACATTTTTGGCTTCTTTGGCTTCTTTTGCTAAGTCCTCAAACCTAACATTTTTGGCTTCTTTGGCTTCTTTTGCTAAGTCCTCAAACCTAACATTTTTGGCTTCTTTGGCTTCTTTTGCTAAGTCCTCAAACCTAACATTTTTGGCTTCTTTGGCTTCTTTTGCTAAGTCCTCAAACCTAACATTTTTGGCTTCTTTGGCTTCTTTTGCTAAGTCCTCAAACCTAACATTTTTGGCTTCTTTGGCTTCTTTTGCTAAGTCCTCAAACCTAACATTTTTGGCTTCTTTGGCTTCTTTTGCTAAGTCCTCAAACCTAACATTTTTGGCTTCTTTGGCTTCTTTTGCTAAGTCCTCAAACCTAACATTTTTGGCTTCTTTGGCTTCTTTTGCTAAGTCCTCAAACCTAACATTTTTGGCTTCTTTGGCTTCTTTTGCTAAGTCCTCAAACCTAACATTTTTGGCTTCTTTGGCTTCTTTTGCTAAGTCCTCAAACCTAACATTTTTGGCTTCTTTGGCTTCTTTTGCTAAGTCCTCAAACCTAACATTTTTGGCTTCTTTGGCTTCTTTTGCTAAGTCCTCAAACCTAACATTTTTGGCTTCTTTGGCTTCTTTTGCTAAGTCCTCAAACCTAACATTTTTGGCTTCTTTGGCTTCTTTTGCTAAGTCCTCAAACCCAACTTCCCAAACATAGGCTATATAATTTATTCACGTGTACAACCGGGGAAGGAGAAGGAGAGGGTGAATTTCGCGTTCAGACTTCCAGAATCAAACAAATTCACTTTTTGAAAGTCCAAACAATAAGAATGAAAAATAGGTTAAATATTCGTTTTTATGTGAAAAAAAAAACACAAAAATCAAAAATTATATTATGATATGTATGTGAATACTTATCTCCTCTTTGATGAGTTGTTTCAAAAAACTGTTTTGATTATTACTCTCATACATTATTTGATTTTATTCAAACTTTATTCTATTTACAAATAACAATATAATAAAAAGGGTAAATTACAAATACATCCCCTGAGGTTTGATTAAAATACGAATCGCTCTCTGTGGTGTTAGAAATTACATTCCACCCCTTGAGGTTTCTAATTTCATAACAAATCGTCCCTTCTATTAATAAATTATCAAATCAATTAACAATTTTTAATGATATTAGAAATACGTTTCAATTAATAATTTAGGTAATTTTATTATTGTATTAAAGAGCAATTATGAATTTTACTTTTTTTAATTAATTCTATTAAATAAAAAATACTAACAAGAAAGTATTTGTAATTTTTCAAACCACATGAGGCAATCTGTACTTTAAGTAAATCTCAGAGGGTGTATTCGTAATTTATCCTAATAAAAAATAATGATGTTGACATAGTGGTGAGTTATGGTGGGATAGATTGTAGTTTTGGAATGAGATAAAAAAAAGAAAAAATAATTGAAACTTAGGAAAGAATATGAATAGATTTGAATAGGAAGAATATGTATAATTGATTAGGATATACCATAAGAAAAAAAGAATATTTTATTTTAATGTTTAATATGTGTTGTCCTTATTAGTAAATTCATATTAGGGTATAACAGGAATTAAAATTTTAATTTTTAAGTTGGGCATACTAAGATAATTTTTAAGTTCAAATGGAGTGGCTTAATAATCTAGCATATATTTAGGGGTGAGAATTTGACACATAACTCATTAACACCACTCAAATTGTACATGCAATTAGGATTACAGTTAATTATTTGTTGACTCGAACCTAAATATGACACGATCTGAAAATACAAATATTAAATGGGTCTTATTTGGGTTGAACATGCAAAACCCAAAATAAATACATTTAACCCGCGTAAATATTTGTGTCAACATGTTGACACGAACCCGCTATTGACTCGCATGTAACCCGAATACAACCTGAATTTAGTAACCATAAGATCTTAAGTAATTCATTCTCATCCATTAGATTTAAACTTAAATCTCCATATATATATATATATTTATAACACTAATTAAGTGCCACTCTAAATTAATAATAAATCGGTAGAAGCCAAGATTGATAGATAGGAGAGTTTTAGAATGTGTTGCAACAATATTTTTGTGGTGGAAGTCAATGTAAAAGAATCACAACAATGTTGCTTTGGATGTGACATAGCTGCAATATTATTATTATTCCTTCCGTTCCAAAATAATAGTCTTTTTTGGAGAATTTAACTTTTTTTGGTAGTATAATTATTGTACTTTAAAAAAATTGATTTTACAAAATTATCCTTTGATAGTATATTTTTGGAGAATGTCAATGGCATAATTGTACTTTTTATGTTGTTAATGAATTTAAAAGAAAGACAAAATATGAAATTTATATTATTTTTGTACTTAATTTTTGAAAAGGGAATAATGTTTTGGGACAATGAAAAATAAAATAAGGGATTAATATTTTGAGACGGAAGGAGTATTATTAATTTGGTATTGGATGAAAACTTATTTTGTTTTTAAAAATTTATTGGATATTTAAATATTCTTTATAAATATTAGTGAGTGACAATAGTTTCGATGGGATATATAATGCCTGCGCTCTCTCT